CACACACACACACACACACACACACACACACACACACACACACACACACACGTACACTCATACATTTCCATCCCAACCCTCACACTTTCTTTTCTCTCATCCTCTCATTCTTTCTTCTCTTTATTCGTCTCCCCCTTTCTTTCCTTCCTTTCTATTCCCCTTCTTCACCAGGCCTACCGGCGAGAATAACCTCTGGAGCTCTCCATCGTCTGCAATCACTTCACCATCATTAAATCGCTCACAGTTCAGCGACTCACTTTATCGTCCCGCCTTTACGACGCTCGTGAGCATACTCCCCAGGACCTGCGGCCAGTCCTTCAAATGCCAAACGACGTAGTCCCCAGGTCTCACAGTCTGGTGGTCTTCTTATCTTCTTATCTACACAACGCTTACATACCCCAAATCTCGTTGCCGTTATTAGACATAGATTGGAAAGTACACATAGCTTGCTGTTGAGTTGTTATCAACATAGATTGTTAAAGGGCTTACAGTTTAGTTCTTAACATAGATTATAAAGCTCAAGAGCCAGTGTTGAACGGGAAATTTAGCTGCACAGGCTATTCATAGTTTAATAATATATTTTTGGTAATTGTGTTCATACGAGAACAGCATTTATTAATAACAATTGCCCATTGTATAGCTTCCTTGACCAGCTTGGTGCAGTGGCGAAGCGCGTCACCGTCCGTCGGGAGTAAAGACATGAGTTGCATTTTTTTTAAGAGGCACGTTTTTAACGTTGATCAGCTTCCCTATACTTTCTTGACTTCCTAATATTTCAGATCTTTGACCGAAAACGATGTTTCCTTCTGCCCAGTACCACACTACGACAAAAACTTTTGGTCCAATGTTCTGTTGATGAGCCGGAATAAGAAAAGACTGGCTCATCAAGATGTCACAGTTTTTTTGTTTTTTTTTATTAATCTTGTAAATCTCTTCTTTTATTTGTCCACAATCCGCTGCAGTTCTGGGCTTAGCAAGAAACTTTGTGACCGGGATTTTAAGACAAGGAATGGTGTGTGCAGTATGGAATTACATTACCCTTCTTAACTCTTTGGCGTTGCACATTCTGGTCATCCCAAAACACTTGGAGATATGCTGTTTGGGGGGTTCATTAATAGAAAACCCAAACAAAAGCAAACAAACAAATAAACACACACACAAACAAACAAACAAACAAAGTATAACTTCTTTACTCATGTAGATTTTTCCTTTTTGTTATTTTTATCAGAAACTAAGACAAGAGCAGGCGTACTTTGCAACATGTTAAATGGTGTTCTGATGTGTGTATGATGGTTTGGAATGTGCCGCAACATTGCCTTTGGTCTGACTCTGGTTGAACATGTATATATATATATATATATATATATATATATATATATATATATATATATATAGATATATATATAATGTGTGTGTGTCCGCTTCGTCCTTAAAGCGTTACATCGCTACCTTAGAATTATGAAAATCTATCCGCTGAGTACCAAGTTTTGAGAAATTTGACGTCAACATCTGTGCTTAAGGTCACAACATGTCAAGCTTTTTCGAATGCAATTCTTTGCTTTGAATACTTTTATAACGACTCAGAAAAATCTTTTAGTTTTGATAGAGCGGATAGAGCATTTGATTTCTGACCTAATGGTCTTAGTAAACTCAGAAAGGCCAAAATGTCAAAAAGAAATTTGTTATTCTGACGTAACCACATGTGTCCGCTACGTCCTTAAAGAGTTAAATCGCTACCCTGTAATTACAACGCTCTATCTGCTGTGCTCAGTACCCAGTTTTGAGAAATTTAACGACTGTTTCGAATGCAATTCTTTGAATATCTTGACAATGACTCCGAATAATAATCGTACGCTTTTAATACAGCAGAATATGGTACATCTAGTTTCTGACCTCAAGGTCTTGCGATAGAGCAGACAGAACATTGCAATTCTAAGGTAACTAAATAGCTATTAACGGCTATGGTGTAACAGTTAGATCTAGGCACTTTGCTGTCGCACGTAGAAGATATAAATTTGATTTCCGTGTGGAGGATTTTTTTTTTAAATCGTGTATCTCCATCTTCCTTCTGGGACAGTGTGTTCTTCTTAACCTTACTTAAATTATCTAAATTGTTCCGATCGTTTATTTATATCAGCGTTCATGTACGAGGAGTTCGTGGGAAACGCGGGAATAGTCTCAAACTGAAAATCGTGAAGGTATCAATTTTGAACGCTTGTGGACTCATAACTGTATTTCTTCGAGTATTCAACTTCTGGTTGGCTATTGATGTTATTTTTTTTTAAATAATAAAAGGTTTTACGACGCTCGCAACTGCGTAAGACCATATGAGCGCCAAGGGGAATCAGACTTACTCTGCTCACCTCTCTAGCTTCAACAGCACAAAGTCTGCTTCGACTATCAAGTGATCCCGGAAATAGCAGGTCACAAGAGTGTGACAAACATACAAAAAAGTAGAGGAAAATGACAATAGTAAGGATTAGGAAAGAAGAGCGGCAGTTCTCTGTTGTAGATCAGGCTCAGTTATGAGCGTGACATGAATCAGCCCATTTACAATTCTACTGTGCTTGAACGAGAAATGTCCTTCCTTTGGGAATGGCCTAAGGACACTACTGTCAGTGGCACTGCCCCAGGGGGTGCTATTGTTGTTAGATTTCTCAGTCAACAAACATAGCAATAAACCACCAATCATACAAATATGAAGCTATGAGTCCACAAGATTTAAAATTGACACCCTCACAATTTCCAACTTGTGACTATGCCCGTTTTTCCCGTGGACTCTTCACCTCCAATTACTGTTCTATCAATCGATTTTCCACGAGAACAACATTATTGATAGTAAGTTAATTAGTCTAGTTTTCATTTTCTTTTTGAAGTAGGGCTATGTTATAAATGCATCTATGGTGCAATGGAAGGCCAGGCTGTTTGAGTTCGAATCCTGCGTGGAAAGTTACTTTATCGAGTATCTGCGTCATTCCTTTCTGTTGCGGTGTCCCATTCAGCCAGGGTGGGAGCAGGTCATTTATCTAAATTGAATCGATGGGGGGCGTAAAGCAATTACGATCATTTTGAAAGGTATGCTGACCTTTCCCCTTATTTCTTTCCATCTTTCTTACAAATCTTTCCCCTTTTCCTCCTTTTGTCTTTTCTTTATTACTCTTCTTCTTTCTCATTTCCTCCTTATTTTCTTTT